ATTATTTGATATGTATGAGAGAAATGAATGAAGATCTGTAAGAACAAGTTTACAGATTCTGATATTTAAAAAAAATGTATATGAATTAGTCAAAGAAAAATATAATATCAGAAAAACAATGTTGAATACAAACGAGTGTATTATCACCGAAAATGATTTTCGTATAAGAGACGTGATAATAACAGTTTGAAGAATAGCTAAACAGGTATTGGAATTATGTACGATGAGAAGTTACGCAAGTAAAATCTCAAGAAATACCTGTTCAGAGAATGTACTCGTTTTAAAAAAAATCAATTTCCAAAAACAATTATTGAACTTTCTAAGGAAACTCCCCCTAGAAAGTAGATTTAAGTAATAAATCTTTTAAGCTCAAAAAAATAAAAATAAAACATTTTAAGTACGGGTTCTAAACTGGGTGTTTAGAAACCACACTCGGTAAAGCACAGGTTCTGAACTGAAATGTTCAGAAGCCATAGTTTGAAATAATGTACAACTCCCCCTGCATAGGTGTATCACAAAAAATTGATATTCTGATCAGCATAAGATGGACACACCTGCAAAACCAAATCAAGTAGATTTTGGTACCCAAACGAACTTTGGTCCTAATATGTTAGTATTTGGTTGAGGTATGTTGTAATTACCAAACCATTTATTTCTATAAGATGTATTCTTTTCAGCACTATGAACAGGATGACTAGGATTAGAATATGAATCATATAAGTAATTGGGATCAGACCTGTTCTTACCTTTCCAGTTGTCATGATAACTGTTATCTCCATGCCACCTGTTGAACCGTTTATTATTTACATAATTGTTGGTTCTGCATGTTGAGCACAAAATCCTTCTCTTGCTAAGATTAATCAAATCATTAGTAGACTTCACAATGCAAGGAAGATTGTTAGTACCAACAGGTGTATGAGATAAAACAGAATCAGACTTATTAACCCATATGTTTTTCATCTTTGAAGAATAATTGGGTGATCCAATAACATATCCTTGATAGTACTGATTAGAACGAGAATAGTTCTTCGAAACTTTAGATTTAGGACTGCTTGAATAACTGTTCGAATATGAACCATTATAAAAGTTGGTTTTACACTGAGAAGGAGAACCAGTTGAGCTTTGAGCACAAGAAAAGTCTTTGACTTTTTGTAAAAGCTGGTCTCGTTCTACAGTAACTAAATCATATTTAATTTTCAGTTCAGTTCTCATGTTCAGTTCAGTTTTGAAGGTCTGTCTTTAGATCAGACAATTTCTTTGAAGTATCCAGGAGTTTACCTTCTAACTCCTTCTGAAGTATTTCAAACTGTTTCTTCTGATTTAACAAATCTCTCTTCTCTTCATCTGAGCTGCTCTTGTCATTCTCCAAAGCGATGTCAAGCCACTTCCTCTTCTCAGTAAGCTCTTTTGCAATTGCTGTATACTTCTTTGAAGTATTTTTTTTCTCTGTAGAAAATTGCTTTTTCTCTTCGTCCAAAGCCTTTTGCTTTAGATCAATGCTTTTAGACAGTTTCTGGAGCTGGCTCTGACAGTCTTCGGAGATGTCYGTCTTTTCTTTAGCATGTTTCTCTCTTTCCAAAACAATAAGCTGCTCAAAATCCGAGATTTGCTTTAGAAGCATCTTGGCGTTTAGCTCGAGAGAGTTAATCTTCTTCTCGTAAGATTCTCGTTCAGCTCCAAACTTTCTTTCAACTTTGATTATCCTCTTCTTTTCTATCTCCATCTCATTCCTTTCATCTTTTAAAAACTTTTCAGTCTTTAAAACCTTTTCCTTCTCTAATTCAAATAATCTTCTAAACTCARTCARCTCATTCTCAGTCTTGTGGAACTTGTCAGTTAAATCCTTTACATCTGAATTGCTTCTTGGAGAATACCTCTCAGCAATTAGTGTAGTCTTAACTAATTCAAGTTTAGTTGACAAATCAGCATTAGACGAGATCCACTTTTCCAATTCAGCATTATAACTTTTCCGATCCAAACTCCGATTGTTTTCAACCGTTTCTATCTTATGTTCAAATTCCTTCACAATTCTTTCTATCTTTTCGTTATACCCTCGATGTAAAGATTCATTACATTTCTCATTAACATAATTTTGAAGTTTATAGTTCTTTTCCAGCTCATCATACTTTGCTCGCAATTCTTGATTCTCCTTCAAAAGAATATCTGCCATTTTTTTAAAAAATGATCAGTTAAGGATCTATGCAATGAAATCAAATAAAAGAAATATGAACAATTAAGCTCAAAAAGAACAGAAAAACACAAACACTGAAAAACTCACGCAAAAACAAATATACAATGATCCAAAAGAAAATCTAAACACAAACAACCTAAGAAACTATAAACAAAAAAAAAACAACTAATAAAAGCCCAAAAAGAATAATGTCCAAGTCCAAAAACAAACTGAACCAAGCCCAAAAATCTGAGTCTAAGTCCAAATCAAACAGTATCAACTCTTTACAACACAGATATTACACTTTTTAAAAAAATGATCTATTTGCTCTCAAAAGTGTATCTAAAAATCCACGTGTATGCTACGCTTATCAGTTCTTCACTTGGGCTGCGGTGACTTGTTCTGGTGTGCGTCAAATCCAAATTTGCTGCCAAGACCTACACTCTGTTAAAAATCTGTTTAAAACAATTCACTGTTGTTCAAGTCCTCAAATCACAAACACATAGTCAAGAAGAATCGACCAAGACAGAAAACTATGTGAAAGACAGGAAAGTTGGTGTAAATCTGCTTCAAAACAGAGTACAAACCTTGCAAGGACTGAATACTACACCAAGTAGACCAACACTGCCAGACAGGACATAGGCAACTGCCGTAGTAACAATAATCAAAAATGCTAAGCAACTCTATATTACTATCTAAACAGAATGCCAAATCAAACCAGCAAACACTCAAAACAAAACCTTACTGTCAAAACAACCTGTCAAAGAAAACAAAATTCTTACTATTAAAACATAATTCTTACTGTCAAATACAAACAGTGTAAGAATGCTGCTGTTCTTGTGCTGTCTAAACAACAGTGTAAGAATGCTACTGTTATCTTCTTCTGTTTCTGTCTATCTGATATGAACCTTGAATTAAGCTTGAAATACAGAAGCTGACCAATTTAACCTGCTGTTCGATCTGCTGAGCTGCTGCAGTCTAATCCGGACAATATGCAGATTTTATCTGTTGCTGTTCCAGTACTCAAACTCACAAACACATCACTAATCAACAACAAAAACTGTTATGTTTAACAAAAGTAGCATAAACCTGCTGCTGTGATCCAGTCTACAAATTGCAAACACAGATAAATCTTCTGTTAAACCGTCTATTACCAGAACTGGAACTGCTGTCAAGATGGTTGCTGTCAAAATGGTTGTTGCTATGCAGACACCACAGATGCTACTTGTTCACACACACAATGCTACATGTTGTTTCTGCTTTCTTCTTGTTGCTGATGACTGTTGTTGAGATTGTTGTTTTGAGATTGTTGCTGCTGTTTTGAAAATTAATCAAGACTGTTTGAATACCATCAGGTACTCGACAGCCTCTATGATGATGCAGTCAAAAGAACCAACCAGACTGGACACTCAAAATTGAAACACATAATAGCAAACAGCCAGCAAATCCTTTTCTGTCATGCCTTTCTGCTACAAATCTGTTTTAAAAAAAAATTATTGCATGATTAAAAGCAACTTTCACCAGACTTGATTAAAAAGGATCAAAACATGATTTATAAACTACTCAAAACAGCCTCTGAAATTGACAGAACCTGTACAGAACTTGTGTGTGCATACTATAGCAAAATGACCAAGACAGAACTGTGTATGGTTTGTGTATAACAAATAGTCTGCTGTTATCTTTCTTGCTTATGCTTGCTGCTGCTGTTTGCAACCTGCAAGCTGGTTACAAAAATTAAGACCTGCTGCTTCTATAAATAGATCCTGCTGTTGATTTGTTGCTGTCAAGATGGGTYTGGTAAAACTGATCGAAAACAGATCACTAGCAAGCCTGTATTGTTTCAAAATGCTAATGAAACAGATTCACACTCTGTCAACTGTTGCTCTTAAACCTGCATACAATTCTCAAAGAAATCAAGTGGAAACTTCGGCTTCAAACTAGTATAAGCTTTGCTATTGAGTATGTCAGATCCTAACTTCTTAACCTTATCTGAAATCACATTTGTACCAACTTCAACCCCAACAGGAACATGTGTATATATCGTGCAAAAAACAAGGCAGTGAATTTTCTCTTTGAATAAAATCTTATATGATGTTATACCCACTAACACTAAAGATTAATACACGCCATTCTGTATGTTCTGTACAAGAACTTCATGCTCTCCAATCAAAACAGCCAGTTAAACAGAACCGCTTAAAACTGCTACTAAACAGTCAACTTGATATACACCACTCACAGCTTTAATAAAGCTGCTCACTGCAGGATCTTAAGACCTCTCACTGTATGAACAAAGTCTGATTAATACATGAAAGATATTTGTTACAGCACATCAGTCAATATACAGCATTCAATAAGCATGAACTAAATCGCACACTCATTTAACCACACAACCTTTTAAATCAAACAAGGTCACTTGAGCTTGAACCTTAAACCTGTCAGCTTCATGAGACTAAACCTGTCAAACAAACCTCACCAATCTCAATCGATATTTGACAAGATATTGAACATATTACCCAATTGAATCAAGAAATTACAAACAATCAAGAATCTGGGTAAAATTGATTGAGCGGTTTAGAAGTCTGCTCAAAATTCTTCAATTCACAAATTCTAAGTCCTAAACCGATAAACTTTGTTTAAAGCAAAAACCTAAACCGCTTACTAATCCGGTTAAGGGTTGATCGGTATACATGAATACCGGACAATCAGAGATGAAAGACTGTTTAGACAAATCCACTATCCGCTCAAATTTGATCGGTTTACCTCTCCGCTCGTGTGGTGTGAGATCTAGAATACCGCTCAAAAATTGAAAACCTAACCTGAAATCAACCGGTGTAGCTTAAATCGTTCAAGAAATCTTACCTGCTGAACGAGTCAGAACCCTAATCCGGTCAAGTGGTGACCGGTGTAGATGAATACCGCTTGAAATACCGATCAAGCCTTCTCCGGTCAAGTAGCATGTGGTTTACCTCTTCACCGCTCAATGAAGCTCCAATCACAACAATCCGATCAAGAGATGATCGGTTTATATGAACACCGCTCAATCTGAATGAAACCTGCGATTGATCTCTAGTCTGCACAAAATGTCGATGAGCTGCACAAGATGAAGTAACCGGACTCTTATCCGGTCAAGGTATATTGGGCCAGACTTTCTGGTTGGGCCTTGAACATGTTGTTCATTCTAACAAGAAATTCAACACAACTAAAAATAAAAACGGATTAAAACTATCAAAAACATAAAACAAAAACAAAAAAAAAAAAACATGGATAAAAAACACTGACATTTAAAAAAAATTAAGAATACGAAAAAATTTTAAAAACCTAAAAACCGATTAAATATTGATTTATTTTGATCAAATCACAAAAATTTGTGAACAATAAAGATTCACAACACAATTTCGAACATATTGATCATGTTTTTAATACCAAAACACAAGATTTTATGGAAAAATCGGATCTAAATCAACAAAAAATTCAAGAAAACGAAGAACACGAAGAACAAAAAAAAAAATCAGAAATTAAAAAAAACTTATCTCTTCGATTTCTTCAATCTGATTTCTTGCATCCTGCTCTGATACCAATTGTGTGTCCAAATTCACTGATCAATCCTTCATATCTTCATAATCATGATGGTAGATTCATATAATCATTCAAGAACACCAAGAACAATGTTATGAATATTGAGAGAGAAAGTCAAACATGTAAAGCTCAGTCAAACTCTCTATTATCAATGTATTATTACAATTGAGCTCTTCTCACACTAATTACAAGGATTAACTACCTATTTATATGGTCAAACTACAAAGACAAGTCAAAGTCAAACCTCTAAAGAAAAGTCAAACACGCTAACTTTTTACAATTAGACTATTTATAAACTTTCAAGACGAATACAATTAATACTGATTTCTCAGTCCTAACACAAACTTATCAATTTCATCATCTAAGCAAACATCTGAATTTAAGATATTGGAAAAATTAATTTCTTCATTAACAGCATTTATTTCTTCTGAGTCAGTGGCTTCAYTCAAAGATTTTTCGCACGAAAAATACTCAGACTCAACATGTTCCGTTTTTATTATAGAATTTTGTAAATGCTCAATTTTATCTAAAAATTCTTGTTTTTTGCTTGTTAAATGAAAGTCTTTCTTCAATTAAAATCTTTTCCAACTGAACCACTTGTTTTTCTAAAATAAGAGTAGGAGTGTAAAGCTTTGGTTCAGCTGGTTTTGCTTCAAGCTCTGCCTTTGAATAACTATGRAAATAATCTGTTGAAACTGCAGAGTCTTGATTATTGTAACTTTCATTTAAATTTGAATAATCAAACGTAACTTGCATCTTCTCTTTTCTTTGACGATTATAATCTTCTTGTTGTTCGACCTCATCAAAAGATTTTGTAAAATTTACCGAATACTCGGGACCACAATAAAGATATTCAGAATTATATAAGGTCGAGGCATAACGTAAAGCTTTTTCAAAAATTTTTGGATTTTCATACCCCAGCCCTTCCCGAGGGTTAAAATATCTCGTTTCAGATGGTTTGTTTAGAAAAATGGTTTGATCAGTTTGTCCTATTTTGTATAAAATTTCTTCTTTAGCCTTCAGAGTTTTATTTAACTGAATTATTTGAAGTTCAAGCTTACTTATTTTAACAATCTATTATTTATTAACTAATTCTAATGATTTATATTTTTCCTTCAAATCAGATAATTCGGATTTTAAGACATTGGATTTTTCATCAAATAGTTTGGACTCAGATAACAAAGACTTAGCCCAATTCAAGTTTCCAGCATTTTCAATATATGATTTGACATATTTTTCTTTTTGAGATTTTAATTGATCTTCAAAATTATTTGAACGCAATTTTTCTGATTTTAATTCTTGTTGGAAAGTTTGAATTTTGAGCATCATCTTTTGCATCTATTTAATGCATGATTGATGTAATACCTCTTCATTCATTTCCACTGTCTGTTCTTCTTCTTCACCTGACAAACCTTTATCTGTTCTAGCCATCAAGCACACATGTGCAATAGCTTCAGTTTCTTCTTCTTCATCAGTCAGATTCAATCAGTGTTCATCCTCAGCCATAAGTGCTTTCCCGACATCTCTTTGTTTGGACAGAAGAAATTTAATCTTGTAGTAGTCGGTATCTCAATTTACCGGCTTCCTACAATTTACAACAAAGTGACCTAGCTTACCACAGTTACAACACTTAGTGTTCTCATCAGCAACACCTTTGGTAAATTTCTTCTTTTCTTCCGGCTTTTTCTCATACTTCTTCTTGAACCTCTTTTCTTAATATTTCTTCTTCTCGCTAAATTTGTCTTTGTATTCATATTTTGAACCTGACGAGAATCTCTGGTTGTTCGAGTGTGGCCTTTTTGAGAATTTCTTCTGGAATGCTTTAGTCAGCATTGCCATTGCCTGTTTGATCTCTGACATTTCAAAATCTGAATCTGAGCTGTTATTGTCTTCTTTTTTCAGATTCACTTGACTGACTAACTTCTTTAACTTGCTTTCCAGATCTACTTTTTAATTTCTTCTCCTTTCTCTCAGATACAAGAGCCAAAGGATCAACAACTTCTTTTTTTTTCTTCTTTGCATTTTGGATTTCCAAAACATCTTGCTCATTTTGTTTCAGAGTTTCATAGATTTCATGAATATCGATATTAGATAATTGTTTATTGAATCTGATATGATTAGCAAATTGTTTCCACTCTGACTGGAGATTGTTAAGAAACTTAACATTTATCTCTATTGTAGTTTTAGAAATTCCATTCTTTGTAAGAGCCTCTGTCGCTGGTGCAGAGGAGAACAAGCTTTTCAACTCATCCATCCTCTTGAATACCTCTGTGGYRAWGGTTTGTAACTCCTCCTTCGTCACATAAGTACTCGGGGAACCTAGATCACCAACACATGGTGACCTAGTAGCCTTGGAGTGTAAGGCGCCCTCAGTGACTGATTTTACGGTGTCATCTCGGGGACTTCCACCAGATCCTTGGACATCCCCAATTGGAAAGCCTACTGGTGTTCTTTCGATTTCGTGCCTAATAGGTTCAGAGCCTAATTGGGCAAAGGCATCGAGTGGAGACTTTGGGCTTTCTAGACCCGCAACCTCTGTGACTCTCTCGCATGCCTCTGAAGCATGACTTGGTGGTTCACTCATGTGTGAAGGGGCAACATATGCCTCTTTTTGAAGTGTCGAATCCTTGGGCGTATGGACTCTTATTGTAAAACCACCATCCTTTTGAGAGGATGTTGGAATAGATTGAGGTTCCCAGACTGTGCATTCGACAAAGGACGAAAGAATGTCCTCTGCAAGGTTTGCTGGTTTAGGGCTCAGCGTGTGTACGCTTTTTCAATAGGGGTTTCCTCTAGAACATGGTCCCTAGTAATGTGGGTTGCACTAGGAGGGGGGCTTGGGTGTGTGCCTTCGGCATCTTTTTCGCCCTCATCTAACTCCAATTCTTCTTCTTCGTCGTCTAGAACAACTTCTGTCCCCAAATCTGCCACCTCTGTGGGCGCTTTAAACTGTTATTGGAGGTTGAAGATTACATCATGAATTTGCTCTGTTGGGGACTCTACTTGAACACTCTTGCGCAACCTTCTGCGCTTAGGAGCAGCCTCTGCTGGGCTTTCTTGGATTGCAGCCTCTGTGACCTCAACCTCTACGGGTTGAGCCTTCGATTTCTTCTTTTTCGGTTTTAGCGGAGGACTGCTTGGACCCTCTTCTTCTGCGGGTCTCTACTTCCCTTTCCTTTTCTCAGAACAGTCGACATCCTTCTGAGTCTTCTTTGTCTTCTTTTGCTTTTGTGGGGGACTAACTACCTTTGGTCTTTCCTCACTCATCTCCCTAGCCTCTGCAGGCTCCTCATTTCTTTCCTCAACCCTCATTTTTTGCACTCTCTCTCCTATTGGGATACCTATGCGTGGAGGGGTTTAAGGGACCAGCTCTGGCCGCCTGTATCCACGTCTATACGCTTTCCTATCTCGTCTGCTAAGGTATTTGAGCATGGCTTTTGATAGTGGCCTTGGGCTTCTGTACCCTAGCTCATGCTCTATGGGGTGGAACTCTTTCATTGGATACAATCGTGCGTTTGGCTCTGCAGAGGGCAACTTCTCT